GCCACGGAAGCGGCCAGCGACCTAAGTCACGGAAGCGGCCAGCGACCTAAGCCACGAAAGCGGCCAGCGACCTAAGCCACGGAAGCGGCCAGCGACCTAAGCCACGAAAGCGGCCAGCGACCTAAGCCACGGAAGCGGCTGTGCACGATCATCGAAGTGACTCCTTATTGTGCCGGCCTGCCGTTCGGGGGAAATGGTCTTTCAGGGAAGTGGTCCCCCAGGAAAGTGGTTGGGACGGGCGGGACTTGCAGTTCAGGCTGCAGACTCTCTCTCGGAGTAGTGGCTGTTGCTTTCTGGTTCGTCGAGGGGCATGCCGGGCGTGCTCATGAAAAAGGACTCGGAGCTGGATTTGGCTTGGTCGTTTTCAAGACTGTCGGCGCGTCCAGGCTGTGAGGCGGCATTTCGGCGGGGGTAGTAGAAGGCGAAGGTGCCGAGGGTCACGGTGGCGGCTAAGACGACGGAAACGGCGACGTCTAGTGAGTAGTGGCTGCCGGTAGAGAGGGTCTTGAAGAGCCAGAGGACGGGTGGAATGAGCAACACGGTTGGCACGATTAAGATCTCGCCCGTGTAGCCAGCCAACACCTTGACCATATGCAGGTCCCATAATACCGTGACGAACAGACAGGTCGACGCAATGACGGCCGACGTCGATGGAAAAGACATGCGCCCTTCCATCAAGACCCTTGCGTCGCTGGCTGTGCAACGCCCCACGTAACTCCCCGGCGCCACCTGACCGACTGCCACAGGACTCACCGCCACAGGATTCACCGCCACAGGACCCACCGCCAGCTGCCGGACTGGCGCACTGATGACGACGGTATCTCCCGTCCCAACGACACTGCCGGACACGGCTCCTGCAGCCGGCATGGCAGCAGGGGTCATCACGGAGGAGGGAGTCAGTGCTGCGGGCTGTACCACTCGCGCCATCGGTTGTGCCACTGGGGCCATTGATTGTGCCACTGGGGCCATTGATTGTGCCACTGGGGCCATTGATTGTGCCACTGGGGCCAGTGCCAGCGGGGCCATTGCCCCTGCTGCGGGTGTGAGAGCAGCGGGTGAGTTGTTGGCGAGGGCGAAGGAGACTTTGAGGAGGTCCATTCCGCCGAGATGGGGGTAGCAACGCGAGAGGAAGTCCGGCCGGAAGCGGGCCACGAGACGTTTGAGAGCTTCGGAAAAGAGAACGCCGCCCTCGATGGAGAGAGTGGCCATAAGAATGAAGTAAACAGTCATGCGGAAGCGTTGTCTGCGCGTGCGGCGGTTGCGTACCGCGTACATCAGATAGGCTACGTTCAGTGTCATACACGCCATGACCACCGTCGTCCATGGCCACCTCAACAAACCGTGCTTCACGAATCGACGAGCCCCCAGTTCGATTCCCGTCGGCGGCCAATCCGCACCCAAGGCTGATCGCGACCGAGGCCCTACGAAATAGTAGAGACACCCTATCGCCATCAGAAACACCACACGAGTCAACGCCTCCTTCACCAAAAACCCCTTCACGAACACGTTCTCGTACCAGCGATCACGCTCCATCCTTCCGAGGCAATTACTCACTCAGCCGCACACACAGCACCCCGACTCAGATTTTACCCTCAACCCCCAGCTGAGCCATCTCCCCCCATTGGTCGGTCTTATTGGTCGGTAATTGCGCGCGATTCAAGAGGCTACATTGGTCATTGATTGTTAAGCTAGACGGAAAAAAAGGTCGGGCCGTTCAGTTCAGACCGGGTATGGCTGATGGTCGTGGGGATCGCGCTGCGGGCGGCCGGGGCTTGTAGGACGTTCGCACGTTGGTATAATGGGTTCGCGTGTGTGGGCGTGGGTGCGGGTCCCGGGACTGCCGCCGGTTTCAAATGAAACCGGTGGAAAGGTGACGGGCGTGCCTGCACCAGAGAGTGGGTTCTGCGGTGACTGGTTGTCACGTAGGCAGTCGGCAAGTGCCCACGGTGTGGGTAGCCAGTCGGCTGCTGGTAGCCAAACGACTGCTGGTAGCCAGGCAAGCCAGTGGACTGGAAGCCAGTGGTCGTGGGTGCAGGTCTCGGTGCTGCCAAAACGTCGGTTTTCGCCCAATGCAAGTTCGACTGGGTTGCAAACGGGCGACCCGGCACGTCCCAGCGCGCGGGCGAGACACTCCGCATCTGCGACGCCGTTCGGAGCGAACTCGGCACGTGGTGACTGGAACCGAGCGTCGAAGGAGACAGTCTGGTTCGGCTGGGGATATATCGTGAGGCACTTGACCCCACGGGGATCCGAGTGCCCGCCATGGAACTTGGAGTACTGGCCACGGGACCCGGAGTACCGGCCGTGGAAGTGGTACTACCCACCATGAGAGTACCGACCATGGAAGTGTCGGTTACGTTACCGCGGCCGGTCACGGGGTTAGCGTATATGCCCGGTGGTCCAGGAGAAGTTCGTGCTGGTTGCGGGAAGCTCGTAGTCATGAAACTGGTCACCGCCGGCGCCCGCGCTGGCAACTGCGGAATGGGCTGCGACCTCGTGTGCGATCCCAAAGTGCCGCCCGCACCTGGCCGCATCGGCGGAGGCGTCGGGGTACGAATGTACGCCGCGTGCAGAAGCCGCGGTGGCGGAGCGCTCTTCGTCGACCACGCGTCCACCGACCCCAGACTACTGCCGCCGTACGCCGTCTCCCGTTGGACTGCCTCTCGGTCCCGCTGGACGGTCTGCCGGTGAGCCTCCCGGAGGGCTGCCTCCCGTTGGGCTCCGTCCGGCTGGGCTGCTTCCCCGTGGGCTGCCTCCCGCTGGACGCCCTCCCAGTGGGCTGCCTCCCGCTGAACGGCCTCCCGGTGGGCTGCCTCCCGCTGGACGACCTCCCTTTGAACCGCGTCCCGTTGGGCCTCCCTTTGAGCAGCCTCCCTTTGGACAGCCTCTCGCTGGAAGGCTTCCCGCTGGAGGGCTTCCCGCTGGACAGCCTCCCGGCGGACAGCCTCCCGGCGGACAGCCTCCCGGCGGGCAACTTCCCGCTGGACTGCCTCCCGCTGAGCTGCGTCCCGTTGGGCGGCCTCCTTTTGAGCAGCCTCCCGTTGGACGGCTCCCCGCTGGACACCCTCCTGGTGGGCAGCCTCCCTTTGGGCTGCTTCCCGTAGGACCGCCTCCCGCTGGACTGCTTCTCTTTGGGTGGCCACCCTTTGAGCGGCCTCCATTTGCACGGCTTCTCGCTGGACAGCCTCCCCGTCGGCAGCCTCCCGCTGGACTACCTCCCTTTGAGCTGCGTCCTTTTGAGCCGCCTCCCGCTGGGCCGCATCTCGCTGGGCCGCATCTCGCTGGGTCAGGTCTCGGTCTCGGAGAGTGCGGGTGAACCGGGTGGATGGCGGCCGTCCCGCGACGGGGCTGTGCTCGCGGCCGGATGCCTTCGCTTGCGGCCTGAGAATGGGCGCTGGTGGGTGCGAGGCTGCGGGGGCCAGACGACCTGGGCTTTGATTGGTTGTAGGGGCCGGGGCTGGACTCGATCCTCGGGGCTTCGGGTTCGGAGTCGTGCCCGAGACGAGATCCAGGGGGACCGAGGCCAGACCCGGGGCGGTCGGCGTCAGCCCGAGTGGGGGGGGATGGTGTGCCACGCGTCTTCCGGATGGCGGCGGCCAGTCCCGGGCGGGGGCCAGACCCGGCGACGCAAGCCAACTTGGCAGCGTGGCGCCTTCGAATACGGCGGGCGCATTCAGGACCGAAGACGCTGCCGACGACGTCGTGGACGGCGAAGGGGAAGGGGCCGCGGTAAGGGACGGGGACGGGGTTGTGCCAGCGGAGGAGGCTCGCGAAACAACGTAATTTGGGGCTGCTCCGTGCGGGCCTCCCGTAGTTGGACCGTGCGAACCTCCCACTCCTGGTCCGTGCGGGTCCCCCACGGTTGGCCCACGCGGCTCCCCCACGGTTGGCCCACGCGGCCCTCCCATACTTGGTCCGTGCGGGCCTCCCACTCTTGGTCCGTGCGGGCCTCCCACACTTACATGCGAACCTCCCATAATTGGACCGTGCGAACCTCCCACTCTTCGTCCGTGCGGGTCCCCCACACTTGGTCCGTGCGGCCCTCCCGCACGTGGTCCGTGCGGGCCTCTCACACTTGGTCCGTGCGGGCCTCCCGTGCTTGAGGTGGCGTCCGCCCCTGGGGTCCTGGTGTGGGAGTCGGTCGGTGAGAGGCCGGGCGGTGAGAGGTCGGACGGCGAGAGAGCGTCGCTTCCGCAGTCGCTGTCGATTGAGGTATCGGGTGTGTCGCAATTGAGGCCGAGTCCGGGTCCGTCGGAGATGACAGATCCGTCGGAGACGGCTAGTTCCCCGTCGGTCAGTTCGAGATCTTCGCCTAGTAGTTCGCCCTCCGGCTCCGCCTTTCCGTCCGGCGGCCGAGAGCAGACGACCATCTGCGTTGGCGGCAGACTCGCGCTAATCTGCGGAAGACTGTCGCGACTTTGCGGGCTAATCTTCGAGTCGAACGTACCCATGCGCGGGCGCTCGCTCTTCACCACCGACAACAACGCCCGTAACCTCTCCGCCTCCTCCGTCTCCGGCCCCCGGTCCGCTGAGGGTCTGACTGCAGTCTGCCCAATTGAAGTCTGTCCAACTCCGGTCTGTCCTACTTCGGGCTGCCCGGCCGAGGTAGCCTGTCCGGCCGCATTGCACGTACAACGCGTCCCGACAGCAAAGGTCTTGGTCGCCGTTTGGCGGTGCGCCGGTTCGGCACACCTCGGAAATCGCGGCGCAGCCGGCGACCATCCGTCGATCTGCTCTCCCCCGCCGTTCATTGTTGTCGTCCCGGTCATGGTCGCTCCAGTCATGGTTGTCGCTCTGGTCATCGTCGTTGCTCCCGTCATGGTCGTCGCTCTGGTCATCGTCGTCGCCCCGGTCATCGTCGTCGTCTTGGTCATCGTCGCTCCGGTCATCGTCGCTCCGGTCATCGTCGTTCCGGTCATGGTCGCTTCGGCCATGGTCGTTCCGGTCACGGTCGTTCCGGCCATGGTCGCTTCGGCCATGGTCGTTCCGGCCATGGTCGTTCCGGTCATCATGCCGCCCATCCCTCCGGTCATCGTCTCGCAAGTGGTGCCTGGTCGTCCGGGGCGAGCGGCGGTGGGTCTTAGGAGCAAATCAAGTCGTGCGGGTCTTAGCAATTCGGGTCTTAGCGCGCAGGGCCGCCGGGCGAGATGTCGGTGTGCAACGACGGAGGCGATGGAGCGTTCGACGCGAGAGGAGGAAAGCGGGTCCTCGAGGGGCTTGGGACGCTGGTTTTGGGGCGCCGGTCGCAACCAAGGGCGCCTGGCGGCAAAGCGCCCTGAAGAGGACGGCCGACCACGTGGCGGCGAACGACCGCCGGGGAACGGCTTCCGAGCCGCCCCCCCCCGGTTCGAATCCGGGCGGGCGCGCGCCCGATGCGGGAGCACAGGCACAACCTGCTTACACAACGGGCAAACACTCCCCGGCGGCACCGTCACGTCTTTAAACAAACTCAACGGCAACTGACTAAAATCCAAATCATGTACCTCTGGGAATATGCCCAACTTATAATTATTATGTGCGGTCGGAAACGTCCGTTCCGAATCCGGATCGCGATACCGCGGCGGGTCTTCACCAAGCGAGCCGCCACTGTTCGACGGTCGACTGCTGGACCGTCGACTGCTGGACCCTCGACTGCTCGGCCGTTCCACACTTGATCGATTCATACTCGATGCCTCTTCGCTTGATCGGCGACTAGCCGAGCGCCGACCAGTGGGCCTTTTCTTCTTTTTCCGTCGGACCGGAAGCGGCTCACCTTCGCCCGACTCGCGATCGTCTGCACTCAACGTCTTCTGGATTCGATCCACCAACCTTTGGAATCTGGCTTCCATGTTATTATTATTATAAAATGCCTGCAGTAACAATCCCCCCGCCGGTGGTGGTCTTCGAATGCCGGTAACCTCGCGCACAGTGAACATCATCATCAGACCAGGCCAGGCCAGACCAGTCTAGGCCAGGTCAGGCCAGCCCAGCCCGGGCCGGGGTCATGCACGAATGCGCAGCCGATCACACGTGATCAATGTTACGTGGTTGTAGGTGTGAGCAGACCGTGGTTGGTCAGCAGGTGTATGTAATCGGTTCTTGCGAGGAGTTGGGTTGTTGGGGCATCGACCTTGCCGTGCCGTTGAGCACATCTTCGCAGCAGTTTCCTCGATGGTTATCTTGCGCATTTGAATTGCAAACAGTGGATCCTGGTACGTCAATTGAGTTCAAGTTTCTGATCAAGAACGCGGACGGTAGTTTGGTGTTGTGGGAGAGTGGAGCGAACCGGAGTTTCCGATGCCCGGATGCGGGACACTTGGCTCGTGTGAAGGGGGTATTCGATCGTTGTCCTACGGTGAACATTTCTATCACTGTGGCCTCTGCGACTGGTGCCACAGCTGCCGTTGCAACGCCCGAACCGGGAAGTGGGGCCACGACAACAACACCTCCCGCACCAGCCGCAATGGCCGGCTGTGCTCGTAAAGTGCCCTACCTACCACCCCAGGATGTGTTGACGGCACTCGCCGAATATCGCACCCAGAGTGTCGTGGAACTCATCTCAACCACACACGGAAACACCAAGTCATTACGCGAACGTCTTGAATTCATCGCCAATGTGGTCACATCGAGACCCGCTTCAGCTGTGGAAATGTTGCGCACACTTGCACTTCTCTCACTCTACTGGGAATGGGTCGCTACACGAGTCTTATTTTGTGGTGAGGATGGTCGTCATTTCCGACCAAATCATGTGGCGCAATCATCCAAGGAAATATTCGATGCACTCGTTGCCTATCTGGATCCCGCGGGTAAGGGAGACGCCCACAAGGGCGATACACATTCTTGGGCACTTGACGTTACCGAGATGGTCGCTCGTCGACTCATGAAACTGCTACCCTCCTTCGATGCAAAATTCACCGCTACCGTTCCCATGACCCGTATCCGAGACATCGCGCACCGTAACGACATCCCTAGCGACGTTAAGACCGAGATCAAAACGACTCTTCAGAACAAACTGCACCGCTGTGCTTCGCCTCAGGATCTTGTCACCTGCCGCTCACTCCTGGACAAGTATCGCGCGCAAAACCTGAACCCAGACTTCTTATCGGAATTCACGGCTTTCGAGTCCGAGCTGACACAATTCTTCAACCAGCAGTCGTACCGAGAACGGTTAGACGCCGTGCGAGACGTGCTAAACAGCAATGCAGTGGATACATTTTTGAAGAAGATCGCGGAGAGCGCATTCGAGAGCTGCGAAGCCGTTTACGGCTACAACGCGGAGGGTGTGTTGACCAAGCTGATGAATGCACTGGCCGCAGGTGTGGCACTGCGCTCTCAACTGTATGCCGTCAAGGACGCACAGCAAGTACGGGTTGCCGATGTCGAGACAGAGGACACCTTGACGCAACTGCTGTGCCGCACAGCAAATGTAGTGGAAGAGAAAGCGCCGTGTCTGGCGAGTGATGTGTTAGCACGGACTCTGGTGCGGGTGTTGCGTATTTGCCTCGACAGCATGGCCTTAAGCGGAGTAGTACGGCCTTTGAGTTTGTTGTTAAGCGAGGAGTGCGGTACTATTCTGGAATGTTCGGAGCCGATGTTGAACCTGGCATGCGAGAGTCTTGGACAGCGTGTGGCGAGGATCTGCACGACGTTTAGTGAGTTGGTTTCAGCCACATATGACTCCGAGTCGACTCAGACATTGGCGCGCAATCTGGGCGTCCAGACTGCGACTAGTGCGTTGGTGGCTGAGTCGTTTATTCGGGAGAGCTTCCTGTTCCAGGTCTCTAGAGTTGCGAGCGTGCTTTGTGCTACTACCCAGACCACTCAGCACACTGTCGTGTGCGCAGGTTCAGAACCCAATGTCCGAGGTCGCTTGGTATCCTGCAAAGGGTTCGAGGAGGCGGCGCCGCTGCTTTCGTCGGGGGACGTCGGGGTTATTGTTGCCGTGGAGCATCTCACCGGCGATGAAGACGTCACCACTTATCCCGGACTCGCCGGAATCGTTGCCAAACACGAAGTGCCACTGCTCTCCCATATCGGTGTCCGTGCGCGCCAGAGAAGACTGCCTTTTGTCTGTATAGTTTCACCCACGTTCAATTGGAGCGCATTTGTGCAGAAGTTTGAGAATAGCAACATCGTGTTCACTCCCGAGGCTGCGACGGGAGCACTGGTCACCAAAGCGGAGTCGGCCGCAACCAGCCCGGCCCCCGCGAGTAAGCCCGCGCCCCCTGGGCGCGCGGTGGTGCTCCCGCTGGACGCGGAGGCCCCCTGTCTGTCTGAATCCTCGAGTAATGCGGGTTCGCCCAAATTCCGGAGACGGCGCACACGTGTGTGCAAGGGGCCTGGACCTACCCGGTTTGCGTCTGCGCTGACCGTTTTGGCCGGAAAGGACATCCGGGCTGAGAGCTGTGGCTCTAAAGCGGCCGTGTGCGCCCAGCTGCACGAATTACTCGAGGGCACGCACCTGAAGGCCCCGCCCTGCCTCGCGCTCCCCTTCGGCTCAATCGACGCTGCCTTCCGCTCCGCCGTAAATCAGGACGCATTTTCGCGCTACGACGCTCTACGCAAACGTCTGACCAGCTCCAGCGACGCCGAACTACCCGAACTCTGTGCCAGCACGCAACGCCTCGTCATGGACCTCGCACTTAGCCGAGAAGTCGTTGTCAAGTTCAGAGACGCCGTCGCGCTCGCGTTTCTCGCCAACGACGTCGCCCTCCTGGAGTCCCAGCGCCTCGCCCTCTACGTTCGCTCCTCCTCCTCCGTGGAAGACAATTCGGAAGACGCCGCTGCCGGCGTCTACGAAAGCGTCACTACCACCGTCACTTGGTCTCTCCCCTCCGGTACAACCGCCGCGGCTGTTGGGACCGGTGCAGGACTGCCTGCTAATGGAACTGGGGCGGGACACACAGCCCCCGGACAGGCGACGTCGGGACATGCAGCCTTTGTGGCGACGCTACATATCACCGAGCTCTGGCTCGCCGTTAAACAAGTCTGGGCCTCGCTGTACGCCGTGCGGGCAGTTCGCGCCCGTCGTGGACACGAAGACGCTGGCGATATGGGAGTCCTCATTCAGCCTGTTGTTAATGCGGACTGGTCCTTCTATGCCTACACTCGCGCTCCCGCATCGCTCCATCGTGCGCCCGGTTGCTGTTATATCGAACTCGTCAAGGGCTTAGGCGAGAGTCTCGCCGGCGGAGGTCGCTCTGTCGGCGGCGGTCGAGGGTTCCGACTACTCGTCTCCCCCCAAACCAAAATGGTCGACCTCTGCGGCGTCTGGTCCATGTGGGGCGCCGTCCAGGCAGACATCACGCCTTGCTTCGATGCACTTACTGAAGAAGAACTGCGACCGGACTATTGGAAAAACCTCGGCATACGACTGGCAGATATACACCTACTCGAAACACTCCTCCAACGACCACAAGTACACTTTCACACCCCCCCCCACTCCACCCGGTTACACATCCCACTCCACCCGGTTACACATCCCACTCCACCCGGTTACACATCCCACTCCACCCGGTTACACATCCCACTCCACCCGGTTACACATCCCGTTACAAACACAACACTCACAACACACGCACGCAATGCTCACCCACATAGTGGGCCTTATGCACAACAGGGTGGCGAGGGTCCTGTACCGCGAGCCACACACCCCGAAGCCCGGCGCAAACACACATGGGTTTTTCAGGATGTTGAAGGCTGTGTCGTCAATGGACGCGACCTATTTATCGTTCAAAGCAGACCCCAAACCGACTGATCTTTTGGCGGCTGAGCAATGGTGGTGGTTGGGCGTGAGGCTGTGTGTCTTCTGGCATAACTTCTGGGGGTTGCTTCTCTGGGTTTCTTTGGTAGTGTGTTCCTGCTTTCCGCTGCTCCTGGGGCGAGTCTTGGCTTTGGTTCGATCCCCAGCCTTGATTCAGGCTTTGGTTAGGACCGGGCTGTGGCTTGGTTGAGGGCTTAGGGGGGGGGGGGGGGTGGTGTGAGGAGGT